TTTGGTGTGATTCGAACACAAATTACCCAACATTAAAGCCTTAATTGCGCGCTTGATCTACTAAGAAAATTTTCAACTTGTGAAATTTAATGAAATAAAATAACTTTTTTCTATTCTAGTGTYCACATGTAGTGCAAAAAAATTACATTTGTGTTTAACAATTCCAACAAAATAAAAAAATAATCTTCAAAACTAATATTTTATAAACTAATAGAATAAATAATTTCTTAAATCCACATTTATATCAAAAATTTGTTCGATCTCAAGAAATTAATATGAAAAAAGATATTAATAATAGAATAATTATTTTAGTACTTAATATTTATAAATTTGAACATGACATGCATCTTAAAATTTTACAAATTATTAATTAATATTTTAATTTGAACTAAATAATAGTTGCATATGTTTTGTGCCTTGAAATTCAATAGAAAATAACATAATAATAGCTTTGTGCATGTATTAATTTTTAAAGAATATATATAATGTGTTTCAAGATTCTTGATTGATACAATATCAATAAAATTTTATGATTTCTATGCATCCCACTATATTATTTGTAGTATATTTCTTCACATATACCTTTAGAATATACATTTTCTATGTATCTATACATTAATTATGTCTATTTTGATCTTAAAAATAATGCTATTAATATGTTTATGGAATTCATATGCATTTTTGGCATATCCATATTTTTTCGTCTTTATCCATGTGTTTCCAAAGCRTATCCGTATCCGAGTGGTCCAATACGATACCCAATACCGGTACTTTAATCCTTGATTAATATTGCCCATAACCCATTACAGCATGACTGGACGAAACACATTGAGGACCGACACTTCATTAGGGAGAGAGTAGCCTCCCAAGAAGTGTSTCYCCTTATATTGTCTCTGATATGCAGCTTACTAATCTCTTCAACAAGGCAGTCACTAAAGTCAGGATGGAGAGATTTAAGCAAGTTGGGAATGCTGAATATCTATTCCCAACTTGAGGGGGAGTGTAGAGATGTAGACAGGGACACCTAGTCTCTTTTTATATGTTGTTAGTTGCAGAAATATGCTCCCCACATTTTTATTTGTTTTTATTTCAAACTGCTGTACTCTCCTTCATTTCTTCTTCTTCTTCTTCTTCTTCTTCTTCTTCTTCTTCTCTTGAACAGATTTCGAACTAAACCTAGGACTGCTATATCTGTTTTCAAGTCTTATCCTCCTGATAACAAGAACCCCTTCAGCCTGCAACTTGGGTGGACCAAACTTGAGCCCAATCTGACCCAGCCCAATCTTTTGCATTGGTTGGGCCTTAAGTTTTTGGGTTTCAGGCTGGGTCTAGGACAGAAAACTTATAGTTGACCTAACTTAGATTGGGCTTCAGTATCCTAAGTCCAACCCAACCCAAGCCCGACTGAACAAGTATATACATATATGCATTTTATTTATAGGAAAATATCTTTTTTTTT